CACAAATGGGTAGTGAGTGGCAAAGCCTGGGTTCAAATCCGTGTGTTCCCCCTGAGAGTGCAGGGTGCTTGCTGTTACACCTTCATTGTCTACTAGCACCTAAAATATGAAATATATGCCTTGCATTTTCCCTTATCTGTCAGGTAGTTTATTATTAGTTGCTATGGCCTAGAGTTTGCTGGAAGCTTTCATGGATGCAAAGCATTTCTTCCATTGAGGAAATAGGAACCCACTGATGTCTTATTTTGTACATATTAAAACTGAACACTATCATCAACTCTACATTATTTAACTAATTTCCATTTATATGCATTAATAGTGCATTCATAGTCTGAAAAAATGCAACTAGAATAATCAAGAATAAAATAGAGCTATAAATGTAAATGTCTATGCCCATCTTAAGTTCTAACAAGACAATTATATTATTTATGTCTTCTTAAGAATAAGAAAGATGGAACTGTCACAGATCTAGTTTTCAAGACCATTTAACTGTGAAAGCATCAATCCTTTGGTTTTATTGGGTTATTCACTTGGGATCTTCAGATCAGTTAAAGCTGCTGTACAAGCAGCATGGATGGAGCTTAAGAGGTTAATGCTGAGCAATGTAAGTCAGGAGAAAGATAAATACTGGATGGTGTCACTTATATGTGGAAAATAAAGTAACTAAATTAATAGTCAGATAAAGACAAGCTGAAAAGCTAATCCTTACTGGCTGGCTGCAGAACTGAAGCCGTAAGGTAGAAAGGAGTGCAGAAGGGAAAGAACAAGGAGAGAGGGAGGCATAATGGTGTGTGATGGTGCATTATGGGTAAGTTGGTAGTAGATGAACCATGGTGGTAATACCTAATAGAGGGACCCTAATATTAGCTCAGTTGAAAATAAACTATTTGGGCCCTCCCTGATGGAACAACAGGGAAAGTACAGCATGAGTTCTTTCCCTGGCCAACGAGGTGACCCACATTGTGCAGCAAACCTCTCCTGGTCCACCCGCTGTTTCCTCAGCAGTGTACTTTGTTGATCTGCCTCTTCTGTTCCCTGCTCTGCTTCTGGTGAATCCTCTTACTGCCCAAGTATCTCTGGCCTGTACCCCAATTCTGTATGCATGAATGAGATAAATCTTTTTTTTTTTAAAGAAAATTGATTAATTAAAAAAATTAAAGAAACAACTGTTGCACAATTGGCTAGCTAAGGGGAGGATCCAATGCTTCAATAGTTCCAAAATTCTGGTCCAGATAACTGAGACCTGAAGTCTTGACATTCCAAACATTCCATCACTGATTTGGTCCTTTAAAATGATAGCAAAATCTGGGGAATGCTAATTCAAACAATTAGTCTACATTTTTGGAGTAATTTTGATCTTACTTTCCAAATTCTGCTGAAAGATGGTTTATATTTTGTAAAACCTTAGCGTTATATTATGGGATTTCCCTGTTTCACATTTTGTTATTTTTAAACCTGGTTTTGTATATGTTTTGGATCATGGCCAAGAACTTGCCTCCTGTTGAAATAACAAAGAAAAGAGGTAAACAGTTGTTTCCTTGATAAAGGATGTGGTTACATTTAAGTTGACTTTACAGCAATATTCTCACTACCTGCTGTTACTTAGTATCACATTAGGGTCATTGGGTGCTCCTGACATTAGTGACATTTCATTCCATTTTAATTGATAGCAATGTGATAACGGCCTAGTGAAATTTCTGACTTTGGAAGACTTTGTTGCAGTGGTTCTCAAACTAACCACACATTATAATCACTGGGATGTGAGTTAAGAAAGAAAAATATTGATACCTGTTATCACCCATCATAGACTATATCACCCACTCATAGACTATAACTCAATGGGCATGGTGTATAATCTTGGTTGTTGGGATGTTTGAAAACTTCCAGATGATTCTATTGGGCAGACATACTTAGAGAGGTACAGTTTGATTTGGAAGAAATCCTAAAAGCTAGGAGTGATTTTTTTTTTTTGGATTGAGACGAATTGCACCGTTAATCAAATTTCTCCATAGAAAGTTTTTCATCGAACTCATGCTGAAGTGGCTTTAGCTTTTTAGTGCTGTGCTTTAACCCGCTGCGCCACCAGGGAGGGCCCAAGGAGTGATTTTTTTTAAGGCAAATCATCACTTGCCATTTTAAAGTTGCTTAGATTGGATAAGATATATGACAGTATTTGCTTTTCAATGGATTCATCTTAATAGATTTCTTGATTGTTTTCAATTTGTGTAGGTGATATTACTAAGAAACTTAGTAATATGCAAATCAATATCAACTGCTCTGAGTGTGAAATTCTCTTCATTTTGAAATGTAACAAAGCAAATGATTTTAATTCCATGCACATTACTAGCTACAGAAAATCATAAGATACTTTTATGATATTTTTCCTGTGCCAAACACCAGTCTAAACAGTTTGCATATTCTCAATCATTTATTCCTCAAAACTCTTGAAGTGTGGACTATTATTATCCCCATTTCTGCAGAAGAAGGAACGAAGGGGCAGAGAGGTTAAGTACATATATTTAGTAAGCAGCAAAGTAGAATTTGAAGTAGGCAGTATGACAGTCTTATCTCCCATTTTATATCAATTTTTTTCCTGGTGCACTTTTTTAATATTGCAGAACTCCAATCCCTTCTTTTTGGTTGTATAAACATTTCTTTTTTTCAAAACCCAACAACATGTATCACCTATGGAAATGATTATTTTGTCTTCCTCATTATCAGTGTAGTTACATTTTTCCTATTATGAAGATAAAACTGCCCATGATTTGTAGAGCAATTATATTTATTGTGGGATACATTTTTCTTGCAAATCATAATACTACAAATCTCTAAAAATAGCACTTAAAATGTTTAAACTCTCACTTTTTTATGGGTTTATCAGACTGGAGCCAAAAATTAATAAAAAACATACCTGCTATGATGCCTTCCAGATATGTGCTGACTGAATGACTAATGGCAAAGACGAACTTGCCTAGAAAACTTTTTGTTTGGGAAAAATTTCAAATTTAAAAGTTGCAAAAATCAGATGAATTCAAAGATACATACAATCTATTCACATTGATATGTTGAATTTTACCCCATTTGCTTAATCAATTGGTGTTTCTTTCTGTATGTATGTAACATTTGTATACATACAGATCTTTATTATTTTGTTGATAGTAAGTTGTATACATTGTGGTTCATTACCCCAAGACACTTTAGTGTACATTTCCCAAATAGAGGTACTCTTTTCTGTCTTTACATTACCTGGGTATCCACATTTACCATCTATATTTCAATTTGTCAGTTGACCCAGTATTTTCCTTTGGAGCATTTCATTTACTTCTAGAACACCATGCAGTCTGGGCTCACTTATTGTACTTAATTGTCACATATTTTTAGTATAACTTAATCTGTAGCATTTCCATACAACCCTTCTTTGTCTTCTGTATCTTTTTTTTGTTTGTTTGTTAAGAATTA